ATCTGAGCCCCCTTCCCTCTTCTTCCCCCCCCACTCCTTCCAAACCAAGCTTTTGCTTTTCTGATTTCTTGCCCCCCTCACTCTGCCAGATCAGGATGAGAAAAGAGGAGAGTGCTGCAGATGAAGGGGTTAACCCTAAAACCTTTGCGGAAGGGAGGGGAAGTCACTCAGGCCCCAACTCCACCCACCCTCCTTGAAGTAGGGACTTCCTGTGACAGTTCATTTCCTGGTTGGATGGAGCTGGGAAGAGGAGGGAGGGCTGGGGGGGGCACCTGGAGTAGGATCAGTCTGTAATGGTCTCTGGCTATCAACTGCTGGCCGCCTTCCTTCTGCGCTTCCCTGAGCTGCAATGTTCTCTTACAGCCATGGCCCATCCAGTTCCAGCAGAGAGGATGCAGCGATGGTAACACTGTGGCCAAGTTGCTAGCTGGGTGGCTCCAGCCTATTTGGTAGCAAAGGACTGGGGCAGTCCCGCGGCTCCCTGTGCTGGGGGGTTTACATGGAAAGATTCGCTGCTCAGGGCAGAGGTACATCATCCTTCTCGCAGCAACAGCTTTTCAGGGATCTGGGCAAGGCGTTTGGAGGGGCTTGTGCATGCAGGAAGGCTGCCTCTGGGCACTAAGGGGGTTATTTTGTTTTGACAGCATGGCTGATTATTTTGGGAGTGTTTGTAATGTTTTATTCCCCCGCCCTTTTTTTTTTTTTTTTTTTTTTTTTTATATAATGATTACAGGTGTAAACCTTAGCAGCTCTGCCTTCCAGAAGGAAAAAGCATCTCTCCTGCTTTAGAAAAAAACAGAACCTTCAACAAAACAGAGGGGAGGGGAAAAAACCCCAACCCCACTGGAAGTAATTTATTTTTTCTTATTGGCTGGGATCAAGAAGGGGGGAGAGGAAAATTGGACCTCCCCAAACAGCGTCACTGTCATCATCACACTGGTATCTCTTGAGAGATGAAGAAGTTCTTTGATTCACGTCGGGAGCAGGGAGGCTCTGGCCCAGGTTCGGGAACCAGTGGAGGAAGTGGAAGCAGCACCGGCCCAGGGAGTGGGTACATTGGCCGGGTGTTCAATATTGGGAGGCACCAGGTGACGGTGGATGAAGTGCTGGCGGAAGGTAAGATCACACTGGCTTGTGCAGAGCCCTTATTTTTCCTCTGCAGAGGTATCTTGTATAATGTAAACAGAGGCTTTGGCCCTCTCTTCAGGCGTGTTGTTTCCCCCCCTTCCTCTCCTCCTCCGTTTTCCCCAAGATTTCATTGTCATTGAGGGGTTTGCAGTCAGATGACAGCTACAGCTGATACCCCTGCTGTTTGTCAGAGATGCAAGTCAATCCTATTATTGCAGATTTTATTTGTTTTTGAAATGCAAGCAGGAGAAATAAAACCAACAGAAGTTGGGATTTTTTTCCCCCCAGCTGGAAACTTGGAATGCTTACAAACCAGCAAAATAATCCTGGCATAGTCTAGTGGGAGACAGTGCGTCTCGAGGGAAAAGCCCATTGCTTTCATTGTGGAAGTTTCTTCCATCGGCATGCATCTTTCCTACCTTTGCTAGAGCTGGGGAACCACTGATAAATTCTCTCTCTGTTTTTAGTGTAGGGTCTATAGACAGGACTTAACAGAGGAAACAGCTGTTTGTGGTAGGGGGTTGTGGTTGGATGAAAAGATGCTAAGCAAAACTGTAATCCAGGTTATATTTACTGTTTGTGAAATGCTTTTAAAAAAACTTAAAAGAAATAAAGAATAACAAAGGTTATAAAACCCTAAGAACTCTCTAACCTGCAAGTGAAGTGCTGGCAATGCAGCTAATTGCTTGTCATTATTTTTTAAAAGACTTGTATCTGGAGCATTGCTGCTTTAAATATAATTTTATTTTTCATATGCATGGACTATAATGGGATCTTCTGCAAAGTCTCTCATTAGTAACCTTGCTCTCGACCTTCAGAATAATGTTGGCCTCCTTAAACTGGCCCATAGTCCATTTTGTGCACAGCATCCTTGGTGTTTTCAGTCCAGGCAGTGTGTTGTTTAGGTTTTAATTGAATGGGCTTCTGCAAACAAACTGCCTGGAAGAGGGCTAAAGAGAAGAAAGCTGGGGTCTCAGAGCCTGGGGGTAGGTGGCTACCTTAGCCTTGACATAAAATTGAGCCCTGATGGGGACAATATGATTGGTTCAGACCTTTTTTTGATTGAGCTATCTTAAGACAGATTTGTCAATGTCTTTTTATAGTCATGGCTAATCAGGAAGTGCCAGGCTGGGCTGGGGCTGCCTGAAATGCTGGTCATGGTGAGTGGTGCACGCTAACTGTAGGATGGAGAGGAAGCCAGAATTGATCACCCTAAACAACCCTGGCCTAGGAAGTCTAGTGATCTCTCCAGCTTTGTGGGGCACCGATTGCAAGAATATGGCACAAATCTGCCTTGATTTATTTTTCCAAGGCCCTACTTGCCCCTGGAGTCCAGCAATGAGGTTTCCTTCAACTCTGTAGCTACTACTGTTCTGCTCCCTGCTCTCTGGCCTCATTCTTGTAACACCAGGATGAACAGACTTCTTTGCTGATGGGTAATCTCTTGCTGGCAGATCCTGCCTAGGGTGCTGACAGAAGCGGGAAGTGAGCTGCCATGCTATTGGGTGCTGTCCTGCTCAGCCCTCCTCTGTCGTGTTTGACTGCATTTCTGCTCAGGCCTGGGCCATAGCACAGGTTGGGGTGAGGGCTGGGTTGGGATGGGAGGAGGAGGAATTACTCTCCTGTTGTGTTGTCCTGGTGTTCTCCCTGTGCCTCAGCAAGAATAGCACCTTCCGGGAACTCCTCTGTGCATGAGTGCTGTCCAGTAGTGAGAGCAATCATGGGGATTAAAGACTACTGGGGAGGGGTACAATGTGGCTTGGTGGTAGGGATAGGGCTGCCACTCAGGATTTGATTCCTGCAGGCCTGTTAAATAGATCAAATCCAACCTGGAGTAGACTGTCAGGGCATGAGAAGCTCTAAGAACCCTGTCTTGGTGGGAGCTGCCGCACAGAGGTCACTGCTACAACGGGTCAGGCTGAGGGCATTGCCCTCTAATTGGAGGTCCTTACTGACCCCCTAATAGGGCACAAGATGGGTGGCTTTTAGCATAGGTCTGTGGGTTCAGTCCTGTTGATACCAGAGAATGGAGAAGCTCTTTCCTTCATGAACATCTTGGGGGCACTTGTAAGGCAACCTTGCCACCTTCCCATCTGTTGGGATTGTATTCAGCATGCCACTGCCCCTTGAAACGAGTACTGTGATGGAAGTGTGCTGCCAGTGTGTAGCTTGGAGAGCAGTCTAGCCCAGGGGTGGGCTAAATGGTGGATTTGGCCAGTGGCTGGACTCCGTGTCTCAACAGCCCCTGCCCGCGTTGCTGTGCCACTTGCCATGGAGACCCCAGTAGCGGTGGCGCTGTGACAGTGCTGGGCCAGGGTTTCCATGGAGACTGGCCCCAGCAGCGCTGGCAGGATGCACAACTGGGTGGGAAGCTGCTCCAGGGCTGGGGCTGGGATCTTGCAGTGGTGACAGCATGGTCTGGAGCCAGGGCAGAGCCATGATCTGCTACCTGCACACCCCTGTCCAGGGCATGCAGGCAGTAGATTGCAGACCTGCCCCGGATCTGGAGCACGCTCACCACCACAAGAGCCCAGCCCCGGAGCAGCTTCTCACACAGCTGCGCCCCCCTGCCAATCCTGCTGGGGCCAGTCTTCATGGAAACCTTGACCCAGCACTGTCACAGCGCCACCGCTAGTGGAGTCCCATGGAAACTGGGTGCAGTGATGCAGACAGGGACTGCAAGGAAACAGAGTCTGCCGTAGGCCCGATCTGGCCTGTGGGCCGGACTTAGCCCACCTCTGGTCTAACCCCTGCTAGCCTTGAGGTGATAAGATCGTAACCCATCTTGGACAGAGCCTCTTGTTTGCTTCTCTGTACTATGTTCGCTGGCTAAGCGGCTTTGAGAAGCCAAGTCAAAGTGCCTCCCGTGTGGCCTGCAAACAGAAGAAAGTCATGGGGTGGCCCTTCCTCAGTGGAAGCTGAATTTTGTCATGGCTATGTTGGGAGTCTTGACTCCTTCCCTTTCCTCCTGCTTCTGAAAGGAAGTCAAATTGGAAGGGGTTGGGGGAAGGACCGGGCAGTGAAAAGGAGCAGTTGGATGGCATGATTGCATAAGGACTTAAGAGAATGACTCCTTCAAATAGCATAGGGTGAGGAGGGCAGCTCACAAATTTGAGGAGCAAACAACCACCGCTGTTAGTACTGAAGCGTCAGGACTTCATCTCTGTCCAGCAGAGCTGTGACCACCCTCCTCCCCTGCATGCTGCTGAGCAGACTCTGCGAAGGGTGACTGTCCCTGCCTCAAATGTTATTGTTCCAAACATTTTGGGGTTTTTTTTTCCCCCTGTGGGGTGTATCCCCCCAGGACCTTTGGTACCAGCTCAGGACATTGGCTTTCCTGTCAGAAATGTCTTTTTGCCTTTCTATCCACCCCTGCCTGGATGATGATTGTAGGATGCTGTTGTCATTCAGTCCTGTGTTTTAGGGTTTAAATGGTATCTTTCAGTGAGTCAATGAACATCTGTCTTCCTTGCAGCCAAGGAATGTATTGAGCCCAGGCCTTGGTGGAGAAACGCTGAAGTCTGCAGGAGGGCTGCCGACCCCAGGAGGCTAACGCTTTTGGTCTTTTGAAATCCATCAAGGCAAGAGTTAAAATTGATGTGGTCAGTCGGCCTCCCAGAAGTCAGTGGGAGTTCTGTCATTGCCTTTAATAAGGCTGGGAGTTCATCCCGGATATATCCCAAGAGACATCTGATGATCACAATGAATCACACTAGTGTTTGGGTTTTTTCCTTTATAAATTACAAAACTGTGGACTGGGGTGCAAATTCTTTTTTTCTCCAGTGCGAGGTGCGGTGGGCTGTTGCTGTGATGGGAGAGGATTTGGATGTTA